TCGACCTGGGTGATTTAAATAAGGATTATGACAAAAAAAAAAATATTTTGAAAGCTTTTTATTCAGTACTGACTTTTCAACATAATTGGTGTGTGTGTGTGTGTGTGTGCACTGGTTTGGGTGGTTTATGAGGACACAAATTTGTATAATGACATGGGTATGACACAGGTATTACAATATGAAGGTGGTTTATGAGGACACTACCTGTGTCCCCGTAACTCAAAAGGCTTAAAGGGGTCCTATTATGCTTTTTCACTTTTTTAATTTTAGTCAGTGTGTATGTTTGGGCATAAAAAAGATCTAGAAAGTTACAAATCTCAAAGTCCATTCCAAAGTGAGATATTTCGTTTTTTAAAAATCTCTTTTCAAGAACTACAACGTACGGCTCATTTGGACTACAGCGTTGGTTTCCGGGCTTTGTGATATCACAAAGCGGCTCACGGCATGTCTAGATCAATTCATACAAGTACAACACGACGTAGCTGGGCGCCGCGGACAGATGCCGAACGGCGCCGCCGGTGTGCCTACACTCATAGAAAATAAAGTATTTGAATTTTAAAGACGTGGCGCGACGTGACGCTGCGCTTCTTGTCCGGTGTGCGACCGCCTGAAACACTGTTTTTTTTCATCTCCATGCCCAAACGTCTTTGTTTGGGCTTCCGAAAGCGGATGATGTCAGGAAACAGTGGTTGCAATTTATTTTTTAACTCTGTTCCTGAGCATTATAACCCCAATTTGCTATTGTGTGCTGCGCATTTTACTGAGGACAGCTTCCACAACACGAGGGAGTACAGTGCCGGATTCGCCAAAAAGCTTTTGTTGAAAGAAGGGGCAAGTGGCGTGGCAGTACTGAAACACCATCTAAGCTGTTCGCCAATCACAACGCACTGGGACAGCTAACCAATCACAACACCCTTTGTTTTTCGGAAGGCGGACCTTCATCAAAGCCGGAACTAATCGAGCCGTTTGTGCCAGACTGGGGAGAAAGGTATTTTAATAATGTAAATTATGTGAAAAATAATGCTTTTTTCGAACCACCAAGCATGAGAGCATGTTCTAGTACACCCCCAAAACAAATTCAAGACTTTGTAAAAGAGCATAATAGGACCCCTTTAAAAAACATACTAATCTAAAAATGCACAAAGTTTCCTGTGAGGGGTAGGTTTAGGTGTAGGGCGATAGAAAATACAGTTTGTACAGTTTAAAAACCTTTATGCCTATGGAGAGTGCCTGTAAACCACCAATACCAACATGTGTGTGTGTGTGTGTGTGTGTGTGTGTGTGTGTTTGGAGCTTTCAGAGTACTAACCTGCAGTAGGAGTATGAACTGAGGAAAACGCTGAATTGGTTTGACCATGAGGCCATAAAGAGTGATTCTGTCTGTACTGGCAGCCTGCTTTTTCTGCAGCCCAGAAGAACACAAAAACAGGTCAGAAATGACAGGGAACTAGAATGGAACTAGATTATTACACTTGTAAGTGTAAATGTAAGTGCTGCTTGCCCAAACAAAACAGTGAACAATTAGGAGCATGTTGAGAAGTTCACCTTGAGAAACTCCAGGAATGCTGGCTTGGACATACAAGCTTTCTTGATAAGACCCATAGCATTGGTGAAGTTGTTGACATAGTCGCTGTACACATCTAGCACCATTGACTTGGAAAACTAGAGGAGTTGAAAACAACGATCAGCTTAGTGGCAGACATAACAATCCACAGTTCAGACATAACAGAAGATCCATGTACTTCAAGACTTAATGCTTTGTAATCTGTACACTCCCAGGAAAAAAAGGTACAAAGCTGTCACTGGGGCAGCTAAAAGGTACATCTTTATACCTTATTTATCCATAAATTGTAAAAAAACTTTAAAGATATTACTATTTTGAAACGGTACCACTCAGGTAAGAGTTTTGGACCTTTTTTTTTTTTGAGTGTACTTTGCTTGCATTTGTATTTATTTTTCTGTCAATATGGAGTGACTAGTTGTAAGATTGTTCAGCATTTACTGATCAAACTGTCTTAAACATTATGTTCTCAGCTGCAGAGCACAGTCTGCATGATGCAGAGGAAATTAGCACACTTTAAATAGAACTGCTGACTATAGGATGTCCCGTTTTTCCATCTGCAAAGATCCCTCATCACAGAAACAAAAGAAAGTGAGTCATGCTAGGGTATAAATACAGAGAATTACAAAGTACAACTGACTCTAATAAGCAGATCTGACAACCCTTATTCATGCAAAAATCTTCATCTTAACGTGAAGGTTATATATGTGGCCATACAAATCAGCTGGATCAATGCTATGCAATTGTGCAGTGTTTTAAATCAAAAACAAGTGTGAAAAAATGAGAGGCAAAGCAATCAAATCTTAAGCTTTTTGTAACCAAAGCAAAAAATGAAAAATCAATGAACATAAAAACCAAAAACTGTGAAACACACCACAAACTGAACATTTTAGTAGAACAACAGGAGACGTACTGAAGCAACAAAAAGGTCTCCGATTTTCTCAGTATTATCCCATTCTGCTACACGGGAGGCCAGAGCAATCTGAAACATGGAGTGACACTGCAGGATCTCCTTTAGCCTATAAAAAACAGGCTGGATCTTCTTCAAGCTCAGGATCCGCGGCTCCGCCTCCATCAAAGGCTTCTTATATTCCTAAAATATAATTCAGGTGGTAGGTATGAGTGAGTCTGGTCAGATTGTTCAGCTTGGGTTTTATCTCTCTGTTGATTTAATTAACATATTCACAACTGTTTTTGTCAGTTTAAAATAATACATAATAGAATTAATGAATCTTCCAGCTTAAACAGCACAATAAGATAAGGGTGTAGGAATATATTTTGTTTTTGTCTTTACCCTGCTGAAAAAAGTGCAAACCACCCTGTCCAAGAAGGTTAGGATGGTCCGTTTTAATGGTTTTAGAGGAGTTTTGCACACTTGTCAGCTGCTCAGGCTGGCGGACCAGCTGGCTAACCAGCTTAAACTGTTTAAGACCAGCAAAACACTTTAGGCAATTTTTTTAACAGGGTATATTTTCCCCGTGTGCTTTATTCCTACTTGTACCCTCCTTTACACTTCATTAAGAAAATTGAGGAATATTTCTGTTTCTTGCATTATTAGAAAAGTGATCATTCAGAATCCTTTTTTAGTAATACATTCATATGTAATGTCATGATTGTGTCACTGACCAACAGGATCCTCTTGAGTGAGTCTAAGTAGCTTCTTTCACTCTGGATGATAGAGCCAAGAATATGACGCCTGACAACCTGTGACATTCAAAATAATGCAAAGTAGGAATTTGAATTCAATTAGGTTAACTGACAGCAAACCAGCAGCTTAATATGCTCCTATGCTTACCAAGGCAGCAGTAAAAATACAGTAAAATACAGTAAAAACAGTAATACAGTGAAATATAAATACAATTTAACATAGCCGTTTTCTATTTTAATATATTTTTAAAAGTCATTTATTCATGTGATGGCAACACTGATTTGGTGCTCGAGAAACATTTCTTATTATTATTATCAATGTTGAAAACAGCTTTGCTGCTTAATATTTTTGCGAAAAACCCATATATATATTTTTTCAGGATTCTTTGATGAATAGAAAGTTTTAAAACTGAAGAGCAGCATTTATTTGAAAAATATTTTTTTGTAACAATGCCACTTTTGATCAATTTAATGAATCCTTGAGTAATAAAGGTGTTAATATCTTTCAAAAATGAAAAAAATCTTACTGATCACAAATATTTTTAAGGTGGTTTATGTAAATATGTCATAAATGAGCAGGGCAAGTATGATACTGACAGTAATGCAGACTGATTCACGCATAAGTACATAGAAACACGCACCTGTTGGCTACTGAGCCCTTCTGGCATTGGAGAAAGTTGAGGTGGTGGATGTTTGAGTTCAGATACAGTCACATCCAGATATCCAGAATCTTCCTCTATGTCATCTGCACATTGAAAGTCAAAAGCACAGTTAAACTCCTCTTTCCCACTGGCATCACATACTATTCCAATACCTTCCATCTCGGCTTACTTCTCCTTCTAGGTAAACACTATTCTGTAGCTCTGTAATAATTCATGCCACTTGCTATCTCAGAATAATTTAAACATTCAAAACTTTCAAAGAGGCATCTAGTCTCTAGTATTGTTTCTGTACTGTAACCTACCAGGTGTCAGAAAAAAACCCACCAGAAACTAACAAGAGGAAATGAGAGTCAAAAAGTCAAACCTGTGCAGTCTTTTTTACTCAGGAAGGACACTTTGCGCATCATGGCTATTTTCGTCTTTTCCAGTCCATCTTTCGTGCCATTCCTAGCTGCTTTCATGAGCTGTTGAACCTACGGGAGGAAAGAGAGACTGGTTAAGTGCATAAGATGACAGCAAGGAACAAAATGAATCAGCAAAACTAAAAGAGAAGAGATAAATTCCTGTTTGTGGATCAGTGTGTTCAGCAGCACCAGGACAAACCCTCAAGGTCCCTCTCTGCTCAGTTGCAGCACTCAGTGAATTTCACAGTTTCATTTTCATCGTACAAAAATTACTCTGAGTCTCCACTGTACAATGATTAGCATGATGGAATACTATAACTACTAGCTATATATGAATTTTGGTGAACAGTTGAAATTGCAACTAAATCTACATAATCTAGATTTATTCTAATGTGTAATATAACACTGATCCTTAAAACTTAGACAAAACACGCTGCAGAGCTCCGTTAATGCTTCTTCCAAGTGCATTTTTCCTTGTCATGTTTTTGAAAGAAGTCTCCTATTTTCATCAATTCTCAAAATTAAAAATACAATTAAACTGTAATATTCTGAAATATTATTACAAGTTAAAATAACTGTTTTCTATTTTAACATATTTTAAAATGCAATTTATTCCTGTAATGGCAAAACTGAGTTCTCAGCAGTCATTACTCCAGTCTTCAGTGTCACACGATCTTTCAGAAATCATTCTAATATACTGATTTGGTGCTCAGGAAATATTTATTTTTATTATCAATGCTGAAAACAGCTTTGCAGCTTAATATTTTTATGGAAACCATAATGCATTTTTTCAGGATTCTGTGATGAATAGAAAGTTAATTTATTCAAAAAAAGTAAGGACATTTAGAATGTTACAAACGTTTTCTGTCACTTTTGATCAGTTTATTTCATCCCTGCTAAATAAAAGTATTTCTTTAAAAAAATACAATATATTTAGAATTATTACTGAATACCACACATCTACTTAAATGCAAGCGCCATTTTGTTTGTCTGTTGTTACTAACTACTAATAGGACAAACTTAAAATTCTATAAAAATCCAAAACAACTCCTTTATGGAGTAGACATATTATAGTTATGACAGAAAATATAAGCACGGTCATTCATAAGTTGACGTTTTGTCCCATGTCTCAAGAATCAGTGATTACCATACACCCACCACTGTATAAATGTACCTTAATGTCATAGTTTTGTTTGAGTTGGCCGACATCTCGAGCCCCTAACCGCATGGCTAGCTCACGCCTGGTCTGCACGCAGCATTGCTTCAGACGTCATACATCTGGGGAAATCTATATCCATTACCACAAAGCCATGTCCACGGGCAGTACGGGGGGGTGGGGTTGAAATATATCAGTGCATAAAGAAAGATGGCAATAAAGAGGGGAGAAGGAGGAAAATAATGAGATTGAGAGTGTGACAAACACAGGCAGACAGCGATAACATCAAGGCCAACAACAGTGGGAACTGAAGACAGACATAACAGCGTGAAGAAGACCAGAGATTTAGCCTCAGAGATTGTCTGTCTCGGTTCACGGTACTAAAATATCACACTTAAACTGCTCTACTACTCACAAATTCTTCCTTAAACAGAAGTACCCAAGTTCAGACTGCATAAGGCCAAGTCTGGTTAGTCTAGTTAAGGCTTTCTGTACCTGTTTTCATGCATGACGTGCAACATCTGCGGATTAAGACCTCTCGGGCATGCATCAACAGACATTAACTAAGAACAGGAACAGGGTAAACCCAGCAAGGAAGGAGAACTGAAAGAAACCGAGTGCCAAAAAAATCCTTTCCTTTTTTAAAGTTGAAGTGTGTAATTTCTGCTCTACTAGCATCACTGAACAGAATTAGCATAAATAATGATTGTTTTCAAACAGGTTTCAAACAGCTCCTATCTGCCACTGGTCACACAAATCAGTAGCCCCGCCTCTAAACACACACCACCGGCTGAGCTAATGCTGGGCAGCATTGCTTTTGACTTTTGTTAGTCATTTTATACTACCACCCTTCAACAATGCACAACATCTCATTTATTCATTTTATTACTTATTTAGAAAGTGTTGATAATAAATGGGCAGTGGATTGTACCTTATTGCGAGTGGGCTGCTTGGTCTCGCTGTCTGACTGCTCATCGTAACTCTCAAACTCACTGGAGCCCCAGCCGTTGTCTATCAGCCCGGGCTCGCCAGACCTCTGAACCTCCTCATAGATCACATCATCCTCTGAAAAATAATCAAGAAAAAATTGTATGAGGTAGGAGGAAGTATAAGATGTCCTGAGTCAAGATACATCTAAACCGGAAACATAGGTGTGTTGGTTGGTACAGGCAAGTTACTACAGGGTGAAAATAAATCTTTGCCTGCAATGTGAATGTACTTCTTGTAGAATTATTGCTCAAGGGAAATTTTATTGCTTGGAGTTTGCACTTTATTACCACCCGCATTTTTTTCTCATGGCCTCCTCATAACTCATGGATGCCCCTAGTGGGTTCAACTACCCTGTTCAATGGCCCAGGCTGGCTACCTTCCTCAGGCTCACCTTCCTTAGAGCATTCATGTAAATTTTTTAATGCAGATATAACAGGCCAGATAGTTTGACTTTGGTAATTTTGGAAATGGAAATGTTTGAAATCTGATTCTCGGTTGTAAACATTGATATCTTGGCAAATCTATTCACTGTTCGGAACATTTTTGAAACTCTACATCGGTCATCTAATCAGTAGAAAAACAGATAATGCCCTGGCAGAAAATTACCCGTACCTTTTATGTTAAGGTTACGGATATTTCCTTCAACCCTAAAACACAACACAGTGTAATGTATAATTCAAAATAATGAAAAATCAATGCAGAAAATTCCTTCATTTTACCACAGTACAATGGTAGAGTACAGAGTAGAAACGTAATGAGATTATGAGAAAAACTTTAAATAAATAAATAAATAAAATGCCCTCCATTTCTGCTATCTTGAAGAAACATTTGAGATATTCAATAGCTCCCAAGTAAGAATTTCCCTATGGGTGATGACATTACTGATCTGGACAGATGATGCCCATAGTCAGACACTGACCTGCATCTGGTGGCATGATGTTTTCACAAGGCACATCATCGTAGATGACCTCCGAGCGTGCAGGAGGAGCGGAGTTCTCCTTTAGTTGTTCAGAGGGTAAATTTTCATCTGATTCAGGAACGGCTTTCCCTTGGGGAGAGAGACCTAGAGTGTCATTCATATAGTGACAACAAAAACTTCTAAATACACTTTATTACATAAATAAGAGACTCCTAATAGAAGTGTTTGATAGATGTTTGAGCATATTCTAAGCACGAATAACAAAAGAAAAAGGATAGGATACTATTTTAAGTGGGCTGGACATTGGGTTTAGCATCTAATTTGAAGCACAAGTAACTGCAAACATCATTTGATAATCATTCACCAGAGCTTCAGCGAGGTATTGAGCTCAGTGCAGGTTGAGAAACTGAGTGCCAAAGAAATTCAGCCCTGATTAGCACAGAAAAGCACATTTACAATCCTTTTGACTTAGATTTGAGCTTGCATTCTGACAACAGTGCTACAAAATAACAAACATACTCCTACACGACCGGCGGATTGACAATACGTAGACTTGTCTGTACTGTGACAGTGTGTACAGATTTGTTGACAACCTCTTTTAACCTAATGAAGTCGCCTGCTGAGTCTCCCTCATGGGAACTTAAAATTTCTCAAAGTGAAATGTTTAGGCCTCTGAATATCTGAAGGATATATCGAGACTTCTGTCTGGGATGTCAGAGGGAGATCATTTAAAATTCTGAGAACACATTAATTAGGAGAAGGAGTACAATATAAATAACTTTCCTGGGAATATGCTAGGTTAAACCCAAGTTAAGCAACCGTAGCATGTTGTTTACCACAGAAAATCATTTCTTATCTCGCAGTTTGTAAAAATGTGTGAAAAATTATAAAAATCTATGGGGAAACAGTTGCATTTCTGGCACACAGAAATCTCTCAACGTGTGGCTCAAAATGATTTTCTGCAATAATTGACATCATGTCTCAGATGTTATTGATATAGCTTTACTTGCATTGAACCCGGGATATTTTTATGTGGCTTTGTAGATGACAATGATTGTCAGTGTGATGTTGCACATATGTAAATGTTTATACACTGGGACACAAAGATCTAAGCAGGGAGTGGATGTAGAAACCAGTTCTGGTTATTAGTCATGACACAGCAAGAGCCTGTATTTACAGTGTCAATACCGTGCACTACAATACATCTATCTATAGCCTAAATCTTCAGTACTATGATGCCAAAATACTCCAACAGTCTGAAACAAAAAGACTTGACTGGGTTGCTAATTATTCCTGAATGTTGGTCAACAAAGGGTTTAAAGGGACCAAGACAGATCTAACTACGCTCTATGTAAGGGATAACGTACAGTCAGCTGGTTATTATCCCAAAATAGACCGCTTATTATTACACGGCTACTGACCAAATAAATAAATACACTACCATTCAAAAGTCTGAGGTCAGTAAGATTTTTTGGTAACACTTTACAATAAGGTTCATTAGTTAACATTAGTTGACTACTTTAGTTAACATGAACTAAGAATGACCAATACTTCTACAGCATTTATTAATCTTAGTTAATGTTAATTTCAACATTTATTAATGCATTATTAAAATCAAAGTTTGTGCTTGTTAACACTAGTTAATGCACTGTGAATTAACAAACTAACAATGAATGACTGTATTTTCATTAACTAACATTAACAAAGATGAATAAATACTGTAATAAATGTACTTTATACATTAACTAACATTAACTAATGGAACCTTATTGTAAAGTGTTACCATTTTTTTTTTTAAGAAATTAATACTTTTATTTAGCAAGGATGCATTAAATTGATCAAAAGTGACAACATAGACATGTATAATGTTACAAATATTTATCTTTCAATTTCTACTTCTATTTCACAATATTAATGCTTGCACTGTATTTTTTATTAAACAAATAAGCTCGCCATGGTGAGCATAAGAGACTTCTTTCAAAACTATTATCAGCCCCAACCCCAAACCTTTGAACGGTAGTGTACTTGGACATAAAAAAAAAAAATTATCTTAAAGTTTCCGCTATTAAAATGGTCCACTATAACATACAAAACAATCAGCTTAGCAGCAAGACGAACACTGCAACTATTACAGTAATATTAAAAATGTAAATCCTCTGAGGTAATTATCAATACAATCAATAACTGAGAAAAAAGAAGGTGCCAGTTGCATCTTGCAAGAGAGAGCAAGTCTGCTGTGATACGAGAGACATGAATGTAGCGCCGGTTTAAGTTACCAGTATGAGCAGACTGATTATACAGTATTGCCATGGGCGACAGAATATTAGGAAATATCAGATGGCCGAGGGTGGGGACTGAATCAGAATCAAGTATTCCAGAGAGCCGTGTAATAGAAAAAGGAGATCTATATATGATCACAGTCAAATACAAAAAGGACACAGCTATTCCAACTGTCCTAGGGAGTGGGGATTGTACCTTTATGCAGTCGCAGAGTGAGCTCTGAAACCACACTGAACCATTCCTGAGAGTGAACTGGGGCTGCACACACATAGCACAGACTGTTTATCAGCCAAGGGACACCGCTTTGAAGTCACTTCTACTATGGCTGTTGAATTGTTGACGTTACCAGGACTTCTCAAAATGATGCCAAGTAATTTTGTTAGTTTACATTAAGTATTTGGAACATGCATAAAAAAAATTTCCAATGCATATTTCACAATTTAGGAAAATTAATTATATTGACAAAGGATTTTATATTCATTGTATGATTTTGTTTGCATGATCACTTGTTGTGTTATTTGACTGGATTGCAACAGAATTTTCAAGAAAAATCTCCAAAGAATCTGATTTATTAGACTGAACCAAGTGTGGACATTTGGCATGGGTGTGTTGTTTTCTTTCCCGTGAGATTCCTGTGGGTCTGGATTGGATTAGTCATTGCTATTTTTCAGATCTCTGATTTCCATGCTGATTTGTGCATTAATGTGGATTTACAGGAAGGCATGGCACAGCCCCTTCCCAGAGCCACCAACCTGTCTGAGCATGTTTGTGGGGAGACTTCTGGATAGCTGTATAGCGGCACTCTGGCCCATAATGTGAACCTGGAGATACATTTTCAAACAGATTTGTCAGATTTAAGCACTGAAATGCCTTCCCAGCTAGCATTTATTCCCAAACGTTTGTCTGGATGAAGGCTGAATCACAGCTGAGCTTTGTTTCTGTTTTACTAATTGAATCAATGTTGATATTGTAATGTTGTATCAACACATATTTACAATGTCTTTTTAAAATTTCAACATTGATCTAATAACCTTTTTTAACAACATCTAGCATTAAACGTTATTTCAACGTTGTTTCAACATTTCCAACACAGTTTCAACATTGAAACAACAACTGACATTATTTTAACCGCATTTCAACATTAAAGGTCAGTCACTAGTCGGCTGGGTGTTTGGACACTGGGAGTGACACATTTTGGGAACCAGCGTTGATATTGCAACGTTGTATCATCATCTTACATTTATGAAGTTAAACTTTCATCATTGATTTATAAGTATTTTGTTAACCTTTTTACAACAACCATTAAAAGTTGTTTCAATGTTGTTAGAATTTTTCAACAACTTTGTGTCAGCCTTTTTTCAACATTTTCAACACTGTTTCAATATATTTTCAACATTGAAACAAAAACTTGCATTATTTCAACCACGTTTCAATGCTGACGGTCAGTCACTAGCCGGCTGGGTATTTGGACTCTGGGAGTGACACATTTTGGGACGTCCATCTAATCCAAGTAGACTGCTTTAAATAGATTTATCTCACAACATTTATAACCACAAACACTAGAGATATTCTATAAGTATAATACCTTCATAAATGTTATTTCTTTTCCAAAAGCTTGCTTGTTCATCTGCTACTTGAGGCTCGGCCGAGATGGAACTCCTAAAACAAAACATCAATGCAAAAATATTGAAATGCTGCCCCTCGATGTTTATTCTTATCAGTCACTGTGTGCAATGGTCACATCACATTACCACTAGATGTCACTAGAGCCAGCGCTAGTAGTTTAATAACTAATACAGTAAGAAATGTGTTCACCTAAAAGGTAAATATTCAACCATAGGACTATTCAGCTAAGACACAATGGATAATAGAGTCCTTTGGGCGACAAACACCTCAAACAGTAAGCCAATAAAGATTTATGATGTCTCTATGAATGACATCCTGTAGGAATAATAAGGATCAAGATGTTCAAGTGGAAAATGTTTGAGGCATAACACATAAGGTGTAAATCTGTCACACAAACATTCTTACCCATCAGGAGATTGTCTGGCCACCATCTCTGCAGGGAGAACAGAACGTATGTTTCATTTTTAATTTTCTAACAAACAGATCACCGATTCGTGGGTGCAGGGACAAAATAAGTTACAAAAATGAGTTTTATCCCATGTTTCATGAATCAGTGAGGTGATCTAATATACGATATACATAAAAACTATGTGACTAGACTAACACATACCGCAGACCAACCTGGGTATGTTGTGCGAGGATGTGTGGGGATATTTTGGTCCTCCAGACCAGCAGGGGTCCCTCCGTTTACTGCCTGCTGATTATGGTGTGCGACATGTTTCACAGCTTGACAATAAAGTGCATTTGTGGCAGTGGTACCATTAGTATTCTCTGAATGCTCAGCTTCCTCATGAGGAGTTCCTGACTCTTTAGTCTCAACAGAGTTCTCCACTGTATTCTGCTCGTCTTCGCTGTCATCAAACTCAAACTTCTCGCCAGTTTCCTCATCTTCATCATCCTCTTCTTCCTCCTCCTGGGCCTTCTGAGTCACAGCAGTGACCATGGACTCTGAAATAATAAAGATTCATTTTTAAATGATATAAAAAGGATAAGAACCATATATTTACATTTTCTGAAGAACTGTGAATAGTGCTAGTCCGGGCAAATCTCATCACCACAACGCTAGGCTGTTGTGGGTGTTTGCCATGGCATTTCTATGCAGTTGCTACCATAGACACGTATACATAGATGCCACATTTGACCACTCCAGAGACGTTGACGCATCCGCCATCTTGGAAAAGTCAACGCGTCATCACTCACAGTAAAAAACAAGTTTTCCAAGATGCCACAAAATTGTACAGCCTGTGATTGTATAAACCTATGAACTGTAAAAAGCTATGGACTGATTGCATACATGCGTATAACTACGAATGAAGACACACAGTACAACGGAAGTGTTCATGACGCAGCTTTGACTAGTCCAATATGGCAGACGACTTCTGGCATCTATTTATGGTTGCTACTGTGTTCTGGGTGGTTGTTTGAGTGTTGCTAGGTAGGTGGTACTTGGGAGTTTTAGGGTGGTTATTTGAGTGTTACTATGTGGTTGTGTTCAGAGATTGAAAGGGAGTTTTGAGTGTTTTTTGTTTTTTTTGGGAGTGTTTGCTAGGTAGCTGCTAAGGTGTTCTGGGTGGCTGTTTAAGCGTTGCTATGTTGTTCAGAGTGGTTGTTTGAGCATTACTGTGCAGTTGCTAGCATGTTCTAAGTGTTGTTTAAGCATTGCTATGGGATTGCTAAGGGATTGCTAAGATGTTCTGATTGTTGCTAGGGTGTTCTAAGTGGTTGTTTGTGCACTGCTAGGTGATTGAAAGGAAGTTCTGAGTGTTTTTGAGTGTTGCTATATAGTTGCTATAGGGTGCTCTGGGGGCGGGGGGCTGTTTGAACATTGCTGAGTTGTTTTTTGAGCATTACTATGCAATTGCTAGTGTGTTCTGAGTAGTTGTTTAAGCATTGCTATGGGATTGACAAGATGGTCTGAGTGAGTTTGTTGTGATCAGAACAACTTTTAACTCTGGTTGTGTATGATCCTCAATCTTTTAGTGTATGATGGTCAGTTTTTTTTATCGGTGACTATTTACAAAGTCGGTAAGTGTATGATGCCCAGTTTTTTTTTTGTTTTTTTTTTTATCTGTTCAGATTTTAAAAGTGTTGTGTATTCCAGCCTTAAGGTGCTCTGAGTGGTTGTTCTGAACAGTTGTTTGAGTGCGGTGATGGTGTTCTGACCGGTTGTTTAAAGGGGTCCTATTATGCTTTTTCACTTTTTAAATTTTAGTCAGTGTGTAGTGTGTATGTTTGGGCATAAAAAAGATCAAGAAAGTCACAAATCTCAAAGTCCACTACAAAGGGAGCTATTTCGTTTTTAAAAAATCTCTTTTCAAGAACTACATCTAACGGCTCGTTTGGACTACAGCGTTTGTTTTCCAGGCTTTGTGATATCACAAAGCAGCCCATTAGAATATCATTAAAAATAATTCACGCCTACAGAAATTTGAATGGTTGGAGGGTGGGGAGGGGCGAGGTTGTGGTTAGAACGCTTAGTTGAGTGAGTGCATCAGACGAGACGACGAAGAAGAAGTGCTGCTGCAGAGTTAGTGCATCAGAGAAAACGAAGAAGAGCTGCTGTGCTGTAGCGTCAAATTTTCGGCATGTCTAGACCAATTCTTACAAGTACAACATGACGTAGCTGGGCGCCGTGGACAGATGCCGAACGGCACCGCCGGTGTGCCTACGCTTTTGATGAAAGACGGAGCAAGGGGCGTGGCAGTACTGAAACACCGTCTAAGCTGTTCGCCAATCACAACACACTGGGACAGCTAACCAATCACAACACATTTTGTTTTTCGGAAGGCGGACCTTCATCAAAGCCGGAACTAATCGAGCCGTTTGTGCCAGGCTGGGGAGAAAGGTATTTTAATAATGTAAATTATGAGAAAAATAATGCGTTTTTCGAACCACCAAGCATGAGAGCATGTTTTAGTACACCCCCAAAACAAAATCAAGACTTTGTAAAAGAGCATAATAGGACCCCTTTAAGCATTGCTATGTAGTTGATAGCATGTTCTGAGAGACTGTTTGAGTTTTTCTATTTGATAGTGTGATCTGAGCATTTTGTAAGCACTGCTATATAATTACTAGGTTATTCTGGCTGTTTCTTCAAAAAAAGAACCAAATCCTAAGCCTCATTGTACATTACTACAAATGTGGATTTGGAAATATTATTAAAATAGATTTTAAGAATAAAGAATAACCCTGTATATCTATTTTATTTTATGAGCATTGTGTTTATCAGTGTAACCACTAAGCCACAGTTGAAGCCTTAGGACCTGCCTGCTGTGCACTGATTGCAGTGAAACATTCTGAATCAGCATGCATAATGCAATTTCGCATAGAAGCATAAACACAACAAACAAAACATTAGGTCTTTATGATTCAGTGCACGTTCTGTATCTAAGCAGCTACAAAGAAGAGGCTCAAAAATATGTTTTGACCATACCATTGGAGACAAAACCCTTTGTGAGTCATCAGATTTGTTCGGAAAACACCCAAAACTCACAAGCTAAAAGCCAAAATGCCCTCCTTCTGATAACACATACCACAAACATTGAACAGATGGACAAAATAATACAGATGAAAACAATCTGTTACATGCACCAAAAGTAGGAGTGTGGGTGAGTTGTTAACTGAATCCAAAAGTAATAGAGTAATGACAGCATATAACTTTTGTTGTAAACTACAGAGTCAAGTTAAGCAGCAAAACATGACATCCCTTTTTGGCAATTTCTAAACAGCTTTTGGAACGTTACATTTTGCAAAGAAGCCAAAGCACAGGAATAGAGCTTACAGACACTTCTGCACTGGACAGAGAAAAACAGATCATGTGATGAGCAGGATTACACATGTGACCATATGGTCTCTATAGAGAATACTCAACTGAGAGTACTTCATACTAGTAAATGTTTTCACTTGCTCTTAGAAAGTGGGTTGAGAAAATCAGCAACAAAGGAGAAATTTCTATGCTCACATTTCTGTTTGAAATTTCTCCGATTTAAGTTCCCTCCAATTTTTCCATGGTGCATATTTACCTTATAAAATAACACAAATCAGTTACTCAAGTCAATATAAGCTCAGATGACTTGAAAATGGCTCTAAAGGTCAGTAATCATGCAGTGCTCAGGCGCTCTATTCCCTTCAACAATCACTAAACCAACAAAACAACGTTTACCGTGGCTCTTGTCTTCATCCCCCTCACTCCAGCAAAAGTACGAGAACCTCTTAGACCCGGCCAGGTGGATTTTGGGTGAAACTAGAAATTTAAGCGATTGTCTCATGCAAGCAGTCTCCATGGCTGCAGAATAGTTGTGTGTCAAGAGCAGGTGGCATATGGTGTAAGGATTGCTCAGCTGCAGCATATGGTCAGTTACCTTGAGCACTGCCGAGCCCTCAAGCAGTTTCACAAGCTCTCTGGAGAGTAAGAGGGTAATGCTGTATTCCCTCAACTGGGTAACTGTTTCAGAGTTTTACACACTGTACTGTTCTGTAATATACCAGAACAAGTGACGTGCATGGGTCATTAACAGCTCATACGCTGTCATTATGGTTTCTCTTTTTTTGAAAAGCACGCACCCTAATGTGTCATGCACAGCTACCCTTTGTTTGGGCCTTGTTTATACCAGAGTGCAGTGAACAGTGATGTCACATGACGCACCTCCTCAAACATCTTGGCAGGACTAGCAAATCATGACTGAGCCCCACTGGGCTCGGAAGATTTGAATTTGAATCATAGTATCAGGGTTCCTACACATTTTCCACTTCAAAATTCCATACTTTTCCAGACTCAAATTTCCAAACCTCTCAGTAGATTTTTGTAGAGCCCGACCGATATAGCGTTTTGCCGATATTATCGGCCGATATGAGCCTGTCACAGATATATCGGTATCGCGAATATGCCACCGATATGAACATTTTTTTTACAGAACATATAACGCAGATGAAATGCTTCTAAATGGTGTAATTACTTAGTTTGTCCAGCAGAGCTTGCTCCATTGTTTGCTACTGGCGACTCAGGTCAGTGTAGAGATGAGTGGGTGAGCTCAAACTTCACCCGAGTCCGCAACTTCAAATAAATTATCCGCCCGCCACCCACCGCACCTATATTTAATCATCACATTACAATGATTCTAATTCTTAGTTTTGCATGATGATATGATGAATGGATGGCTCATTTTTAACAGCAGATTCAGTGGCGTTAGAGCTGATCTGCGCATCACGACACGCTTCTGCGGCTTAATTAGAGCCCGACCGATATATCGTTTTGCCGATATTATCGGCCGATATGAGCCTGTCGCTGATATATCGGTATCGGCGAATATGCCGCCGATATGAAATTATTTTTTTTACAGAACATATAACGCAGATGAAATGCTTCTAAATGGTGTAATTACTTAGTTTGTCCAGCAGAGCTTGCTCCATTGTTTGCTACTGGCGACTCAGGTCAGTGTAGAGATGAGTGGGTGAGCTCAAACTTCACCCGAGTCCGCAACTTCAAATAAATTATCCGCCCGCCACCCACCGCACCTATATTTAATCATCACATTACTATGATTCTAATTCTTAGTTTTGCATGATGATATGATGAATGGATGGCTCATTTTTAACAGCAGATTCAGTGGCGTTAGAGCTGATCTGCGCATCACGACACGCTTCTGCGGCTCATACGGCTCCACGGCCCCCGGAGCTGATCGCGGCCACTCAGTCAATGCTTGTGTTTATACCGGCCACGCCGTGGCCCAGAACTCATGCTTATCACATCAGTCACATCACATTTCCTAACTGGGTGTCTACACCGGACGCGAATGGCACAGTGCGACAAAATACAATAGAACCTATTATAATCAGTGATGCTGTCTACACTGGATGCGGCTCGAAGTGACACGACAAATCCCGACAGTAAACTGATGCATCGTTCTATTTATGACGTACTGACACAAAGTACAAATGATTTTCAACAGTCGCTTTGTCGCGTCCAGTGTAGACATGGTGTGTCAGCATAGTTTGTCAGTAAAGTCAGTAACATAGCAGATTGAAAAGTTAGTATTTTTCTGCAGTCCAATAGACGGCAGTGCGGTGGTGGCTTGATTCTATTGAATGGTGATTTAACACTACGTTGTCACCTAGTTGGTGAGACTCAATGCTATAAAGTAAATAAACAATGTCCTCGTCTTTTACTCTCACAATGAGCTTATCATACTCGTTTGCTATTAGTAGGGCCCTGTGATTTCCGCTATGTGGAAAACGCAGACGGAATTGCAGAATCAGTACACTTAAATCAAATCGCGATATAGACTAGTGTCTGTGAATATTAAACTGAAAAAGACTATTTTAAATACAAATCCTCATGTTCTGCATGTTCATTTGATTACCAGAAAATACACAACACAGAATTTGTGAAAAAATATTATTCATTATTATTATTATTTATTCATTTTAGATGTTTACATTTGGAAAAGCTGTGCTTCCTGCATAAACCTGCCCCTGTTGGTTTGGCAGTATAGCTTGCTTGCCCTACACAGTTACCTTGTTTATTTTCTTAATTCAAGTTATATATATATTTTGTTCTATTTGTGTTTTTTAAGTTATTTATAATAAGAGAAGTTTACTGTTAAGTGCACTGATGTCAGACACATTTTGAATAATAAAGTTTATTGTTAAATTGTTAAATACCCTGGCCTATTTGTCACATAGTGACACAAGTGTTTGATCACCACATTTGAGTTATCATTGCAAATAAATGTTTATGTATATATATTCTGTTTATGTATATACTGTATTCTATATACAGTACCAGTCAATAGTTTGCACACACGAATGGGAAGTGTGTCCAAACTTTTGACTATACTGTACTGTTATATAGCTTACACAAAGAATATCGGCCTATATATCGATATCGATCTTTTTTTACTCCCTAATATCAGGATTGGCCCCAAAAAACCCATATCGGTCGGGCTCTAGATTTTTGGCCCATATTTAACATAAATGGTTCATACAAAACTATTTTCAGCTTTATATTTGGTATATATTACAGTCATCTATAAATATTTTTATTTTTTCAGGTTTTTTTTCATTAATATTCTTGAAGTGATAGAAACATACGAGAGAACATACAGAGACCTTAAAATAAAATAAAAATAATAAAAAAACAGACTTTTTCATGCACACAAGAAACTTTTTTGTGCCCTCGAGAAACTATTCACATGTGCATGGGAAATTTTGGACGCTTACACAATTTCTAGTTATATATAACCCATTTCCTTTGAGCATCACTGCCATCTTGCTATAAATAAAGCAAGAGCATGGATGCACATCAAAATTCGGCTTTCCTTATCGTAGTACCTCTAATATCAAGGCCTAATGTCCAATTTAGCCTCTGCGGCGGCGGAAAAACCATGACACGAAATGGGCTGATGGCATAATATGGCTTTGTGCATTGTCCTATTTACCAAGTTCAAGAGTCAATAAAAAAAGAGTGGTTTTGTAAAAAAAGTGTTCAAAATGTGGCTTAGGACAGTATGTCATATTTCAAGGCCTTAGGTCTCTTTAACGCATATTCTGTGGCGGCCAAAAAACCACACCGCGAAATGGGCTGATGGCATAATAGGTGGCTCAAAATGCATTGTCCTATATGCTAAGTGTAATGGTTTCTCGTGCGCACATAAAAGTCAGTATATTTTTTATTTTTACAAAGGTCCTTGAGGCTATGTAATATGGTGCTAAGAATATTGTGAGAAGAACCCAAAATGCTAAATTAAAAAGTGCATCTTGCACTAAAGAATCACTAAACAGCTGCCACTTCTTGTATGATAAACTTATTTTCATTCAATTCTTACATTTCTATTATAAAAAAAACTAAATAGGGGCAAAAGTCTGGAAATGCAAATATTTGTCCATACTCTGCTTTCTTTTTTCCATACTTTTCCAGACCTGGAAATTACTTAAATCAAATTCCATACTTTTCCAAACCCCGTAGGAACTCTGTAGTATGTGGGTTAATGACGTATAAGAGTGTCCACAATACATAAAATCTGCTACAAATCTAGTTTAAAACGCAGGTGTCAAGTTCCTAATGTATTCATGTTGATTTCATATGGTTTTGAAAAACTTGTATACCATTTTAACAAAAGTTTTAAAAAGTTTAATAAAAAATTTAATTTGGTGTAATAATTAAAGGACCATTACAAAACTCACAAGCTAAAAGCCAAAATGCCCTCCCTCTGATAACACATACCACAAATGTGTGATAATATGATAAATGATTAATTCATAAATACCTTTATTTATTTATTTTTACTTTTTTGGGGATTCGCACCCTATGACATTTTACAACCTGAACTAACTTTACCTTATTATAAAAAGGTCAAATGAGTTCATATTTTAAGAGACTTATTGACAGTAGCACAAAGTCATAAGGTCCTGCAGTAGAGTTGTTAACTAAAACTAATAGTGTTTTTGATAATTTAATAAAATAAAATAACTTAATTCAAATGAAAGCACTAAAAATACTAAAGTTAAAGCGATACAATTTCAAAAACTAAAAATTATACATTACTAAAACAAACTAAAATGAAAATGAAACCTAAAAATATAAAATAAACTAATTCAAAATATAAATAAATGCTACAGTTGTATATAAATAATATTAAAATAACTTGGTCTGCATGGGTCCTCTCTCTTTTAATTAATCAATTGATGTTAATTACATTTTAAAGATCTAATACATCCAGAAAACAATAAGCAGCATGATCCATGTACTAACCTTTTTCAGGAGGGTTAAGAGACTGTGGAGATGCCATGACGTTAATATACAGTCATATATGCACTCCTGTAAAAAGAGAAAAGCTTTGTGTCAACACACACACACTCTAAAATGTTCAATTCAATGTCCCTAAACACACAGGATGTTCTAGTGAAACATAATGTCTTTAAACTGTAGCGTAACTAACACCACACCTCTGGATATCAGTGAAATATGACTTTTACTGTAATTAAAGTTTTTCTTATGTTTTTCATGGACATCAAAGGTTACTAAAGGAGACTGGGTGAAAATGTTAAATTCCTCAACAGTGTGTGGCAGATCCGGGCTTGCCTTACCAGCTGAATCCTTGCACAATATCTCCTCCTACATTTACTGGGAAAGACTCTCAGCCTGTGTCAGAAGAACAACACAACTCAACCGAGAGGAATGACCAGAGGGCGATACAGTGAAATGTGCTGATGAAGAAACTTCAGGAGTGGTTTAGTTACATGAGTCAGTACCACTATTTATAATAAAATTAGACAGCAATTTGTTAACCACTTCAGATCTCTTCCCTCCCATAAAGTGTGGCAGCAATAATGCCAAGGTCATTATTTTGATTCCTAGGAAACAAATACTGACTTTGAATGCACTACAATTTACTTTGGATAAAAGTGACTGCCAATCTTTACAAGCGTTTTTGTCCATCTTGTTTCTTGATAACCCAGAGCTGCGGGTCAATGTGCTTGAATTATTCACTAGAAGGAAGGGCAGTGGCAAGACCTGGTTAAAGCCAGTGAATAGACAAAGGCAAATAGCATATTTCCCACTTTGACAGACACAGCAAGGTTGAATGGTTGAGACTAAAGCACATGGTAAGAGCTGCAGGCCCAATGAATGGCACACCAACTCCTTTCAAATAAATAACACAGGCATCACCTTGGACACAGGCACAAATAGAGAGCGGCATCTGGACCTCCACACATATTAACTTTCCATGGCCGCTCTTTTCACAGACAGTTTTTACAATGATGTCCTTCACCGCTTCCTGGAGTTGCTATGTAAATTTACGATTAATCAATGCATTAGACAGCGGATCTGATAATGTAAAGGAAGACTAGCTTTTCTGATAAAACACTGTAGCCTTGAGGTTAAAAATTTACCAACAGGAATGGTTTGATTCAAAATGGTCATCCCACGTGAGTCAGTTCATATTAAACCACTGGGAGGTAAGGCTGAAGGACAGACCATGAATCTGCTCTCAGATTAGCTTTAGCACTGAACTGATATTTAGGCTACATGTCAGATTACCTTTTAAATGTCACACATATACCATAGTAAAAGATGAAATACAGCATTGTTTGATTGTTATTGTCCACCAGGCAATATAGTCTATTTATGTCCATCTGTTTGTCTATCATGACAACAAAAAATGCCAAAAATGTTGTTTTTGTTTAATTAGAGGCCAAATGTATATTCATATCAATCATATTAGTATCAAATAATTAGCATAGAGTCTTCATATCACAAAAGAACAAAACAATTTCCCTCTAAGTGAATTTACAGTATGTACTTTCTTATGAATCAATAATCTCAGTAAATAAATCAGATGGCATAACATGGTCAGATTATTACACACACAATCATTTTTTTCCATCTGATTTTTTATTTTTATCTACAGCTTCATCACTCACTTCCCCCTCAGTGATGTTATGTTGCACTGTCAGATTTTCATATGTAAAACAATATAAGTACTAGAATTTTAGCTCTTTTTTTCCCAAAGAAAGACTTACTCACAGGCCTGGCTTTACGTCCCTTAAATGTCACCCCTCTGATATTGTCCTTATTGATCACAAACTATCAATATAAATCCACTGTAATTTCTGCTCCCATCTTTGCGCAGTGCAGCCATCTGTGAATCTACAATTGATGATACCACTGTATCTTCCCCAGAAAGCACAGCAATTGTGAAGAGCTTATTTCAAATGTTTCTTTTAGTCAAGGAACAAGTTCTGAGACTCCCAGTCCATTAACTGACACAGCTTCTCCCACGAATATGAAAACTCTTCTCCCTCTATTCTTTTCCCTCAGTCCCTCCCTTTTTCCTTTCTTTTCACTCACTCCTTCCCCCTGCGGTACATCAGGATAGAGCCTCCCTTCAGTATGCAAATGTTCAAAGAAACAACCAGCCAATGGCAGATCATCAGGCCTGCAATCCCACCAATCACAGAACAGCAACTTTTCTTTCAATAGTTCCATGCTGCTGCTGGGGGAGACACAGCATTATAGATAGGAGGAAAAAAGGGGGCATTAATATGCTAGGTAGACAATACTCATGTTAAAAACAAGAAGTTAATTGAAATAAATTGAGAAAAAATGCATTTTCCTACTGTGTCAACAAGCTAAATTAAAGCATATTTAATTAAATTTAAAGGTTTTTTCCCTTCTCATGTACAGAAAACATAATGCTGTGTAATATTAAGGGGAAATAAAAAGTTCATTAAAATGATATTACTTGCAAAACACTGAATATTGCTTAATATCTCACATTTTATTTATATTTTCCCCCTCATTCAATGTTTTTGTTCGGTTATATTTTAGCTTTATATGAACACTGTCTCTGACTATTAGAATAAAAAATTGTTTTTGCCTTGAAGACCTCAATTTAAATGCCCTTTGGTCTAACCAGCTAACCTCTTCACATGTAAACCATGTTCAAATGCACCATATTGTGTTTCCTAACATGCAACATGGTTCAAAAGAGTAACAATAATAGGCTATCTGCTATCTACTGCTAAAATAAAAACCAACAGTTCGCTTTTAAGCAAGTACACATACTTGATAGAATTACAGATGGAATTAAATTTCCTTTTATCCACATTTAATGTGCACATGTATCTCAATCAGGAACAGTCAATGCCTTATACTGATTTTCATCTCATTAACATGCAACAGTTTTATATTAAACATTACTTTCTATTACAGGTGCACAACCATTTTTTTTATATGGGATGTGTTTATCTGGGCCACAATAAATGATCACACTTACCATGCACACTCCATCTACAGAATTCCCTTTACCCTTTCATTTAAACGGATACAGCTTTGCAAGACTGCAAGCAATGTAAGAATAACAGAAGCTGTAGTCGGAAGTAGGGATAGATGCATATTATTTTCAGGCCATAAAAAAACAATACGATCCATGGTGGATACATTTGTTTCAATCTTAAGTATAATACGTCCTCCAACTCAGCAGAGGGCACTACATAGTCTAGTCAAATTTGTAGTTCGCTCTCGTGTTTTTGTTTTGTGGACTACACGCTCACTGCCATGAAAGTTACAAGAGTGTTTTAATTGTACCTCTGAACCTAAATTAACATAGTAAAAAAACGAAGAAAAAAAAGACCTCGAGTTCAACGCTTTCATTCCAAGTAACACAGGTACACTTACATTTTTTTAAGTGAGAGAAACTTTTCTGTGCACCTCTACATGAATGACTTTAAAATTACGTTTAATGTGCATTTCTTTCTAGATTTTATACTACAAACTCGGCGAGCTCTGCAGCCAGATGTGTGCGATATCCAGTCCTGAGTGTGCGCTGCACCCACGTGGTTTGATCGCGAGGCTGCGAGTCTTTTGTTCCGAATCAATCAAAAAAAAAAAAACGAGGAAGACGGACAGACATAAGTAGAGCATCTGAATCAGGAAATCTATTTACATAATTATCGCATCTTCCAGCACAACAGACCAAGCCGCAGCCACTTAACTTAATGCGTCAATATTCCGTTAACTTAGATATTTGCATTTAAATTAGACAGGGGAAAGTTTTACTCAGGTGAGTAATGATATTCTCCTCGATGTTTATGATTGCGGCTTCGGATGTAAATGCAGTGTAGCATGCTAACACGGCTAAGTTGGCATCATACACATCTGTAAATGTTATGTCGTTCAAATGCACTTTCCTGGGGCATAAGTTGATGGTTTGGACTATTTTTACTGGACGGGGTAGATAGAACACGTGGGTAAGTGAATAGTTTAGTTACTAGTCTGGTTAAAGCAGAGCAGTGCTAGTTGGCTGACCGGTGGCTGCGTTATAAAACATAACAAAGAAACAAATGGAGACTGAGTGAGACAGACGCGTTACTGCTGATTCTTTTGTTACAGCGCTGCTAGTGTGTTAGCATAGCACGAGACCTCAGCTTTCATAACCCTTTATGTTTAAATCTTTAGATATAGGAAGAAATAATACATTGGCATTACTAATACGCAGAGCCTGTGCGTGTTTTCTTAAGGATTCTTTTGCTGTGAGATAATTGGAAATTTGAACCAGCAAGGGTTTTGAATCACATTGACTTTTTCATCATTCGCATCGCATGTTTCGGCTCGTTTGATTCTTCTTTCTGTCAAATTATAGGCAGAACAGTAAACTGTTCGCTTACTACATTTTTTGTTTTTATTGTAGGATTTTGTACTATGCCACGCAAGAAGGTGACAGATGTGTCTGGGAACGGTGGACTGAAGAGAAAAAGAGGAGGTGGAAAGAAAAAGGACAGGGAGTTTAGCAGTGACGACGAGTTTGATGACTTTGAACAGGAAAACACAAAGAAATCTGGGAAACCAGCAGCTAAAGCCGGTCTGCAGCCGGTCACTGTGGCTGATGATGTGAAAGAGAAGATTGTAAGGACATATTTTGGCTTTTATTGCTTCTTTGTATCTGTATACTCTATATACAGACACATGCACACACAAATTATATATATTTATACGCCAGCATGTAATAAGTGCAGGGGTTTTCAAACTTTTTGATGGCAAGGACCCAAAAATATGACTTGTGAGGGATCCCCTGAAAATATAAAAGCGGCTGTATATTTAATATGTATGGAGACTTATTTCCCCTTTTTGAAAAATAGTAAGCATGATATTACAAAGATATTATTAAGCTAACACTTTGATTTTGATAGCTATGAAAATGTATTTTTTGTTTATTTTATTTTTCTATTTATTTATTTTTACATGGACACCCAAGTACCCCCTAGGGGTCTCTGGAGCTTAGTTTGAAAACCGTATTAATGGATTGTTGATAGATTTCTTGCTTTTTCTGTTGTGCAGAAACTCGAGGTTCCCAAAGTCAAAGGTCAGTTGCTCATTTTTGGAGCCACCAACTGGGACCTGATTGGCAGAAAAGAAGTGCCAAAACAGCAAGGTATGGTCACGCGTGAGCCAGAGAAATCTGGGTTACGGTATAGTTTTAGAGGCGTTAGGAGAGTACTCTCGCCCGAGTGAGTCACCTGTGATAATCTGTTAATGAGACATTGTGAGACCAGAATTTAATTCGTACTTTAGTTTGCACTTTGGATTTCTCTTGAAGATGTAGTTAAGCACTGTTTCTGGTCTTGGACAGACCATCTGTGAAGAGCACCTGGCAGTTTAAGATTAAGTGGTGGCTGCTGGCATGGGCAAGACAGACCTGACAGTGCTGTTATATGAAAGCAAATATCAAAACAAAGTGAAAATAAATGTATCAGCTAGATAATATATTATCTCACCAAAATATAGAAACTAATTTTTTATGTGAACTTATATACACTACTGTCAAAAAAATATTGGGGTCGGTACGCTCTCTTAAGCTGACCAAGGCTGCAATTATTTGATCAACAGTACAGTAAAAACAGTAATATTGTGAAATATTATTTGCTTACTGTTTTCTATTTTAATATGTTTTCAAATATGATTTATTATTGTTATTACAGACTCACATGGTCCTTCAGAAATAATTCTAAAATGCTGATTTGGTGCTCAAGAAACATTTCTTAATATTATCTAATTTAAAAAAAACATTGTGCTGCTAATATTTTTGTATTTATTTTTTCAGGATTCCTTGATCAATAGAATGTTCAAAAGAACAGCATTTATTTGATGTAGAAACATTCATGAACAAAAACATTAATAAAAAAAAACTATTTTAAGTACACGCTGACTGAATGTACTGCAGTGAATTTACACTTCTATGTGAGTTAAATTCGATTTAAGTTGCAATAACTGATAACAATCATATTTTGAACTTCAGAGTAGGGAAATTTTGAGAGACACCACCAGCATCTCATGCAGAAAACATGAGACAAATCGGCCAGGTGCAAAAATCAACTTCACACTTAAAATAAGAAAGAGGAAGTGTGTGGGTTGTAGTCATTTATAGAATCTTCAACTTTGATAAACTTTTCATGTGTGTCTGTGTGTGTTTTTACAGCTGCTTACAGGAACCTTGGGCAGAATCTGTGGGGCCCCCATCGCTATGGATGTCTCAATGATGTCCAGGTTAGCTGTGTGGTGTCTGGACCCTGTGCTGCCCACAGTCTCATCATCACCACAGAGGGCAAACTCTGGAGCTGGGGTAAGTTTTTACACAAGAACAGTCTTTTCTGTTTTATTCAGGATTTTAACCCAGCCTCCACAAACGCCACATCATGAGGAGTAACATAAAACACTGGTAACCCATTAACACCAAAGACACAACTTAGCCTTAGTGAATTTAGAGAAAAGAATTGAAATTTGAATCTTGTTGTCTTATTAAAGGTGTTTGATGACTGTGTAAAATAATTCATTTTTAGACGACCGTTTAAAAGTGTTTTGTTTTTTTTTTTGTGCAAGAAGTCTCTTGTGCTCACCAAGCCTGCATCGGTCAATACAGTAAACATAGTAATATTTTGAAATGTTATTACAATTTAAAATATTTTTTTTATTCTAATATATTGTAAAGTGTAATTTATCTCTATGATGGCAAATCTGAATTTTTGTGGAAACCTTGATGATTTTATCCCCAGTATTTTTTGATGAATAGAAAGTTCACAAACAACAGTATTTGTTTGAAATAGAAATCTTTAAAGGAGTCATATGATGCGATTTCAATTTTTCCTTTCTCTTTGGAGTGTTACAAGCTCTTGGTGCATAAAGAAGATCTGTAAAGTTGCAAAGACTA